TTGAGTGTTGCTTTGTATTGTACATTTTTAATTTACAGTACCTGTACATCACCTAGACAACTCCAGTTATCTAGCATTGCGATAAATAGGTAACTAAAATTAAGTAGAGCAGAACCTAATCTGAGAGCATTTCAATAATTATTTGCAATCTTGCATCACAGGGAGAATATCATTAGCCAGCTCTTAGTTACATACACTACATTAGCCACAGTGATTGCTCATGTCTGGGCTGGTGGAGGGGAGTATCCCTACATAATTTGGGTCTGAGGCATCTATTTTTCCCAGTTAGCAACTTAGGATAAGCCATATGCATGAGATATCTCTGGAGAAAAATAATGTCAGGAGGAGGACTACAGCACTGTGCAAACCCTGAATACAATCAATCTTATCTGGTTTCAGAAGCTGAGCAAAATCAGGCATGCATATTATTTGGATGGGGGTACTGTGAGATCCCAGGGATTTCCAGGCAGTGCTAGAAAAGAATCCATCCTGAAATCCAACCATTACCAACCTTTTTTTGTTGCAAATGTGTACAACAGACCACTATACTGGTAGACAGAGACACCAGTTTGCAAGACTGTTTTCTCATAAGAATTGTGATTGGCACTTCCCTGGTCTTCTGAATTATCTAAAATGCAGGGCATTGAAATGATAGGATACTACCTTCTTTGATAACTCACCTTTTGTAAGTTTCTTTTTCTTCCTTTCCTTTCAACAGATGATAAGCTATGATCTTGACATGTGTTTGTGCCTAATAAAATATAATTTCTATTGGTTTTGCATTCTGAATTCAGTTTAGGTGGGCTCATCCTAAAGCATTTTGCTGCCAGAGGCAGAGCAGCAAATGCTGTCCCCACAATACACCTGCATCAAGGTGTATTGTGCTCTATGTTGCCATGATTGGTGGAAAAATCCAGAAATGTTTCTCTCTGTACCTGGCAGGAAAATATGTCATAATAAATGACATTATGGAGAATCTATTGCCCTTTGACGGCACTCAAAATTTTGCTCGCTCAGGTTGTTACCACATTCTAACGCTAGGGCTGATCACATGACCACCTGCCCCACAAAAGCTGTAACTGGTTGTGTCAGTTGATTTTTGATGTGAAAGGTAAACAGAAATCTTATATTGTTTGCCTTTAATTTCTATAGAGCCAATTTTAGGTGCCTGTTGAAATAAGAGCTGACAGGGAATTTCTCCAAGAAGTACACTTCTTCCTGTAATTTCTTGGAACTAGCTTATGTTGCTCAGTCTCTGTGTCCACAGCCTATAACCTTTTATGACTGTCAATTTAGTTCCCTTAATGCTTCTCATTTCATAGCCTGCATTCTGTCTAATGTTTGCTGTATATAACGTTTGTCAGCATAATCCAGGTGTTAAGTAGAAGACGCTCTCTGATTCCTTGGTAGGAGAAGGAAGTAATAATGATGATCCTCTTGGTTGATGGCATCATTAGCTCAGGGATATTACGATGGAATTGGAAAGATGCTAGAAGAGCACTTTCCCTGACAAAACTTTGGGTTTAAAAATGTACCATAAATAACCACTTCATGACACAATCTTACTTAGAGTTAATTTGAAATTTACTCCAAAGATGTAGGGTTGTCATGTATGTGTTTGAAGATACCAAAATAGAACATATTTGCATATCCTAATTCATAGGATAAAATGCCCAATTAGTTATGATTTTGTTGTTGTTTAGTCGTTAAGTTGTGCCTGACTCTTCGTGACCCCATGGACCAGAGCACTCCAGGCCCTCCTGTCTTCCACTGCCTCCTGGAGTTTGGTCAAATATAAATGATTACTGTTATTTAATTTAAGTAGAAAAAACATACATTTCCGTGCAGGGTGACAACTTCAGCCAAATGACATGTGTGCTTGTTTGGTCTGCAATCCAGGCTCTAACTGTTCATTCTTCCTTAAACAAGGCTTGGACTAGATAGCCCTTAAAGAGAGGACATTTCAAAACAGAGGGCTGCCTTCTAACAGCTCTTAAAATAGATGATTTTGTCCTGAGAAGTAGGACACATTTCCACCCTACTTGTAGGTGTGCTTGTACTGTAGCTTTAGCCACAGTTCTATAACAATTGGAAATGAAAACGAAGCTAACAACGAACCAAGACGCGGGTTGAAAATTGCTAATTTGTTGAATCAGATCAGTTTGTGTTCATTCAATCCAGAGAACCTGAACTTTCCTGAACCAACGAAATTTTTGAGTGGTTTCCACACTTCCTGTCTTTAAAAAAAAAAC